GTAAATAATCTCTCCCCGGTATATATTTCAATATCATATATAATTACACGTAAAATACACAAGTTTAATCATATATGATTAAACACACCCAAAGGAGCATAATCATATATGATATTCAAACTTTTCGCGTTCTCGCAAAATGTTCAGGTTCTTGCATAATCTTTCCTCTATATATATGTAAACTTTTTGTGTTCCTCGTTTGATTTGCCTCATACACACACACTAACACACACACACACACACACACATATATATATATATATATGTGTGTGTGTGTGTGTGTGTGCCGGTGCGATTGCTAAATCTGCACAATTTCCCCTTCATGTATGGTTACCTGATGCAATGGAAGGGCCGACTATATATATATATATATATATATATATTATATATATATATAATATATATATATATAATATATATATATATATAGGGGAGCGATCAAATGCAAATCACTCAATTTGTACAAACCGTGCAAACCGCATTCAACCAATCATAATTTTTCATTTTGTTAATTTTTTTGTAATTATGAGAGGTTGATTAATCATTTTTATTGTGAAGGGTGTTAATCATAGATATTATCATCTTCATAATTTTAATTTTAGAGAAATACATGAAACAGTTTCATTAATGTTAGAGAAATACATGAAACAGATTCATTAATGTTAGAGAAATACATGAAACAGTTTCATTAAGTATTATATGAAACAATTTCACAACCATATATGAAACAACTTCATCAAAAAAAGTATTATATGAAAAAATTTCATAAGATTAAACAATGAAATCGACAGATGAAGGTGGTTTGCACGGTTTACACAAATGAGGACGGTTTTCATATGATCACTCCTATGTATATATATGTGACGATAACCAAATGAAAACCATAAAAAAATTGAGGACCGTGAGGACTAATCTCAATCATCCAAGGGTCTTAATCAAAAAACGACTAATAATAATGGCATATTTTGTAATATTAGTGAAAGTTGTGTCTAATCTCACATCTAATTTAAATATGGAATGGCATATTAAGGTTTTTGTTTCAACCTACCTTTTTCGACTTTCTACTCCATTGTTGAACCTTAAGACACTTAATTCATCCAAAGCCCTATCATATTTTCTCCGCTTTATCTCTTCAACTCGAACAAAAAAGCCTACCAAATCACCTTCATTAACACCCTGTTAACATCGCCAATCTCCGATGTATTCTTCTTCCCTTTTCCGCTGTCCGCTTGTCTGGTGGCCAACTTTTTCCTTGGATGGTCGGCGGCGGTCTCTTATGAGTTCGGAATCTCCACGTCGTACTTGGTGGATTTGGTGGGTTTGGACTAGCGTGTTAATACTCTGCTTGGATCAATCTACCTCATAAAAATTGTGATCCCCATGAATTCTTTTTGCTGGATTTTCAAGAAGCCAGTAAAATGTAGGGGTGTTAATGAAGGCGGTCGAAGAGTCCCTGTCCACTAGTGATGAACTCGTGTTGAGTCGGGCACTGAGACCCTTGTCTTGAGACTTTGGTTAAATAGAGTTAACACTAAGTCATCATGAGTATTTTGGGGATGAATTCGTGTGGAGTCGGGGGCCCAGGACCATTGGCTTGTAGGTGCATCTCTATGGTGTTTAAGTAGGCATTAAGGTCGGGGTATTGCGGAGTTGAATCCGTATAGGTCGGGCTCCAGGATCTTAGGTATTGTGCCGGAACCTTGAGAGGGGTTAGACATTGGAACCGTGTCTTAAGGCGCTACTCGATAACGTTGAAAACATGGTTTACTTTATGTTACGCCATTGTCGATGAAAACGGGTCTCCCCCGTCACTGAGGTGTTGTTTTGAGCATAGAGTTTCATCCATTATTTTCGGTGACTTTTTGAGTAAGGAATGTTATCCATAATTTATAATTTTGGGGTTATTGAAACGTAACCATGTTTTTGGTATTTTGGATAATAGAGTTTTATCCAAGTTTGGTATTTGAGCATTGAACCTTGAACCTTGCTCGTGTTTTGTGTGAGTTTTGGGTGTTGAATTTATATTCGATTGGGTATTTTGATTTAGAGCTTTAATCACAAAAATGGTAGATTTTTGGAAGATGTTGTTTTTATGTTAAAAGCATTTCATTTGAGAAATTATATTTTATAAGCAGTTTTTTAATTTTACTGTTATATACTCATGATGAAAACAGCTTGAAGTCTCTAGGCGTTAAGCCTAACATTTTTTTTTATTTGTTAGCAAGTGCGTCAGGTCTTGTTTGAGGAATGGTACTAGCGACACCATGAAGAGTTGAGTGTTAGTCAGAGGTACGTGAAGAGTTTAGCTATTCGATGATGTTTTCCGCGTTTGGAGATAGCGACTGATATTAGATTTCAGTAACACTCGACCTTGACCTAGTCTTAATGTAAGACTTGGTTTACCTTTTGTTGATGTTAAATCTAGTTTTGTTGTTCGAGATAATTTAGGTATTGATTTATATAAAGGAATTTATCCTTTAATTGATGTATTATTTGAAATTTTTTAATTAGTCGCTCTTATCAGAATAGAGGGTGTTATTTGGCTGTCTTATGTATGTATGTATATAATATTACCTAATACAGTATAATGTATACCTTTTAGAGAAATTTTCTATGTAAAAAGACAAAAATGCCAGATGATTTAACCAAGTGAAGCGAGTTTTTTTAAAGGATCATGATTCATAACAAAAGCTTCTTGTGTCATGTCTGAGGATCATCCAATAAATTTGGAGTAAGTGACTAAGATATGTGTTGTTAGTTCCTTCTTTTGCCATTTCACACCTTTAACAGTACATAATTCAAACAAATTTTATTTTATTTATTTATTAAAAATTGTGTATGGTAAAATTAAAATATTCGTTTTATGTATTGTTTATATAGTCGCGTTGATTGTGCTGAAAGTATTTTAACAATCCAAACCAAACAAAGTAGTAGAACTCTAATCCAACCCAAACTGTTCGAGTTAGGTTGGGTTGAAACTTTGGTAGATCATTTTACAACATTATGTTTGAACAAGGTAAATTCAAATGAGAACATACAAATAAGGTTAACAAACACAAAGAAGAAAGTTGAATGCTTATACAAACAAGAAAGTAAAATCATGGTTGAAATTATGATATAATTATGAATTGGGTTGAGTTCAAACGGTAATATTTTACCACTCGATTAAGTATCGAGTAGATTAGAGTTGTATTGATCGGGTTAGTCGGGTTTTTGTACGCCCCTTGTTATATACAATTGTATAAAAATGTATATTTTATATCATTTCATTTTTATGTCAAAAAATTAGTTTAAAATTTTTTATTTCACTCATTGAAAATTAATTTTGAACTTGCTACATATTCTAATACTAGAATGATACTCGCGCAATATAGTATGTTTAATTTTATTCTGTCTCTGTCGATATTATAATACTATTTTATGTGGTACTAAAAAACGATAATGTTTTTTTATTTTTTGAATAAAATATAAATTTGAAGGTATAATAATTTTTCTTATAAAATATTGATTTTAGTATCAAATTAAAATTTTAATTTTTTTTTGTGTAATTTTTTTAATTCATTTTTTATTGTAATTTAGATTTAATAATGAAATCATTTATTCTTGATTTAATGATATAGTTTTTTTTATAAGTATAATAATTAGTATTTTATTATAATTCAATAGTTATTCTAAATATATATTTTTTATTTTTATATTTAAAGTGAGATATCTATCAAGTATTTGATTATGTTTATCTGCAGTTAGTTTTATGAATTAAAACATGAAGCTTTAATAAATTGTATATATGCACAATTACTTGTAATCTTGAATTTTAAGTAGTATACATCAATAAACGGTATTTTATATATAAAAAATAATTTTTAAAAATTTTTGTCAAATATTTTATAATATAATATAAATATTTTTTTTTTCTAAATTTAATGACCAGTTAATTGTTTAAAATATTAAAAAAAAACATGGTTACTAAAATAAAATTTATTCATTTGAGGCAATTATTATTAAATATTGAAAAACGCATATGATGAAAAAAGATATTTAATTTCATTGGACAACGCAATACACATTTTTTTTCCGAACAAGTTGTATCCCTCGAAAGAATTTAATGAAAAGGGTGTTTGGAGTTGTTTATTTAAAATAATTTATATTTTTATATTTATTAGTTGTGTATCTGTATAATGTGGTGGGAGTCGTGAATTTTAATGATTTTGAAGTTTCATTGGTTTTATTAGAGAAGATTTAACGATGATATAACTTACACTTGGTCTTTACATATTAATACAATTTGAATAAATAAGAGTTATGGTTTCAATTACAGTCTATCGATAAAAAAATTGTATGATAGTTTAAAATCCAATATATGTAAAATCCACCATATTTAAACAACTCCACAAATGTGTTCGATTTACACCAAGAGAAAACAATCAAGAGAGCGAGAGCGAAACCGAGAGTTTTAGAACAATTGAATGGGAGAACTTTTAATAACTCATGATGAATATCAGTTTGAATCTCACCTTGGGGGATGAGGAGAATACATAAAGGTATGAGAGGGTGAAGACATGAGTGAAAGGTGTCAAAAGTATCTTGGGAACATGAAAATAAAAGATAATAATGTGCATTGGTAACTTATATTATATGTTATTTTAATTGTAGATTAAGAGATTTTAAGACTGAATGCATAAAGTAGTAGTAGTTAATACATTATAAGTTGTTTTTAAGATTTTGTGTATAAATATATAGTATTTTATACATTAAAAATTATTTTTACGACTTTTGATAAATTTGGTTTATAAGGTGGTATATATATATATATATATATATGTATATATATATATATATATATATCGCCAAAAATAAGTTAATAAATAATTCAAATTTAAATAAGAAATCCCCAAATACCCCCAAAAGAATTGAGGTATCTTTCTTTTTATAAAGTGGAGTAGGGTGGCACCATCAACTTACAGATCCTCTCAACATCTTTGCCTCCTGCTCTCAAATCCCTTCTCTCCGGCTGTCACCTCAGTACACCATTCTTTACATTCTATCCTCCATTTTCGACTTCAAGCTGTCAGCCAAAGCAAACTCTTGATTCTTCGACTACCATTTGCATGTGGGTGTCTACACAGACTGCCAATGTGAGTTTATTAATCATACCCTTTATTTTAATCTTACTGGGAAGAAGACAGTAAGTCTTTTTCCTTTTTGGCATTTTTTTAATGGCTTCTATTGAACTTTCCCAATTATTAAAGTCAGATTTAATGGGTTGTCCACAGTAGAAATTGACAGTCTCTAGAAAGCTTCAAACCCTACTTGAATCAATCTCATCTTAATCTGCTTGTAAATGGGTGAAGTCACAGTTGCTTAGGTCTCAGGTTAGAGAGATCTTTGCTGTTGATTTACTTGTTTATCAAGTCATTAACGAGTTCATAGTTCTTGAAACATCCATATCATGTGTGTGTCTGTGTGATGAAACCTTTTTTTCATAGTTGGTTTTAAACTTGAGTGTGAAGTTAGTAAGGAAATCTTGGAAGCATTAACTGTTATTCGTTATGTGTTTTTTGTTTGCTAAAATGTTTAAATGCTTCAAGTCAGATGGTGATCCTTTTTATTGTAACTTCTAGGTTTTTGACTTGAAATGGATGCAAATGGTAAAAGCTCAAAATCAGGGGAGATCAGCATGACAGAGAACAGAAAAAGTGGTGAGGTGGTGGTGACAATATCAGGTGAAGAGAAAGATGCAAAATCAAGAGGTGGTGTTACTGAGTCACCTCATAGAAAATCGGTTGATACCCCCCATGAAAATGCATATTTTATGCCAAGCCCTAACAGGCCTCCCAAAATCCCCCATCCTGATACCTTAACAAGGCGAAAAACCTTAGCAAGGTCGATTTACTCGAAGCCGAAATCACGATTTGGTGAACAACCCTTGATAGATTCTAGTATGTTTGATGATATAGCTGAACCAGTTGGTCAGACTTCAAACTCACCAATTAGAATCGTATCAAATCGGGCCTCGCCCAATAATCCTAAAGTCGCAGCCAATCCTACTGCTTCTCCAAGTGGTACACCATCGAAGGAGACAATAAGAACTGTATCCATAACACCAAAAACTCCATTAATGGCATCACCTGGAGGTGCAGGGGGGGTTGATGAGGATGAAGAGATTTACAAGAAGGTAAATATACGAAAGAAATTGAAGTATAGGAGAGTGAGGATAAAAGTTCTATTAGAATGGCTAGTGCTTCTAATCCTTGTGGGCAGTATAGTTGCTAGCTTGACAATTAAAGAGTTGAAACATTACAAAGTCTGGAGCTTGGAGTTGTGGAAATGGTGTGTGCTTATAGCGGTGATCATTTGTGGTATGTTAGTTACCAATTGGCTTATGCATTTTATAGTGTTGTTGATAGAATTGAATTTCTTGTTGAGAAAGAAGGTGTTATATTTCGTTCACGGGTTAAAGAAGTGTGTTCAAGTATCTATTTGGTTGATTGTGGTTCTCGTTACTTGGACTTCATTGTTTAACGACCAAGATGTTCAAAGATCTAAAAAAGCAACTCGGGTTTTGGATTATTTTACTTGGACTATTGTTTCTTTACTGGTTGGGTCAATCTTGTGGCTTTTGAAGACTTTCTTGCTCAAGGTTCTGGCAACATCGTTCCATGTCAGCAATTTCTTCGATAGAATTCAAGAATCTATCTTTCTCCAGTATGTTCTCCTAACCCTTTCGGGGCCTCCAGTTATGGAATCGTTACAAAATGTTGGGGCAAGTGCAAGTACAAGTGCAAGTCATTTGAGTTTTCAGATGAAGAGGAAGGGGGGAAAAGAGGCCAAGACAAAAGAGGTAATTGACGTAAGTAAGCTTCATCAGATGAAGCGAGAAAAAGTGTCCGCTTGGACAATGAAGATGTTGGTCGACTTGATTTCAAATTCAGGGCTCTCCACTTTTTCGGGGGAACTTGAAGAAAGTGCTTATGATAGAGGAGGTGGATCCACAGATAAGGACAAGGAGATTAACAATGAGATGGAAGCAATTGCAGCTGCCTATCATATCTTTAGAAACGTTGCTCAGCCTGGTTTTACGTAAGAACATTTACAACATCTTTAAATATGTGTAATTTATTTACTGAAAATTCTTTATGATTTACTAACATGTCCACTCTGTAGATACATTGAAGATTTGGATCTAAGGAGGTTCATGATCAAGGAGGAGGTAGATATTGTGTTTCCAATGATCGATGTCACAGATGAAGGACATATTGATCGGAAATGTTTAACAGAATGGGTGGTAGGACTTCTTGTCTTCTTATATATATATATGTATATATATTCTGATTAAGGTCATGCTTGGAACCATACGCTAGCTTATTTTTTGAGCTTATTGAAAAAAAACCCAGTTTGGTTAAACCATATATTAGCTATTTTTCCCAATTAATTCAACATGTTCTTTTACATTGTCAGCTAACATCAGAAAGTTTTTACCAAGCATGAATTAGATTTTAAGCTAGCAACTAGTTTATTAGACAACAAGTAGCTTATAAGTTCAGGTTGTCAAACATAGCTCAAATTAGTTGTAGATTTGAACTAAAGGGGAGCTTCCCCTAAAGTTGATTAGGAAGCCATGGCATATATTCATCGAGATACAATACAGACGTGTTATTAATCATGAATGTATTATTCATACGTCCATATTCTTGACATGAATGTGTTATTTACAAAGGATTTGATTTCTATGATCATAAATAGAATAATCGTTATTTATGCAGGTAAAGGTTTACAATGGCCGAAAAGCTTTAGCACATGCTTTAAGTGACACGAAAACAGCCGTAAAACAATTAGACAAGCTTGTTACAGCAGTCCTGGTGGTTATTGTGTTCGTTGTGTGGCTTCTTTTGACGGAAATCGCAACCACCAAAGTACTTGTCTTGCTCTCATCACAGCTTGTTGTGGCTGCTTTTATATTTGGCAACACTTGCAAGACCATTTTTGAAGCTATTGTGTTTGTTTTCATAATGCATCCATTCGATGTTGGAGATCGTTGTGTGATTGATGGGGTTCAGGTATATCAAATGTTGTTATACATTCTTCTCTTTCCAGGATGTTTTCATTCATTTTAATCGATCGGTTATCTGTTACATGACAGTTGATAGTTGAAGAGATGAATATCTTAACAACGGTGTTCTTGCGATTTGATAACGAGAAGATATATTATCCGAATTCGGTTCTGTCAACCAAGCCCATCAGCAACTTTTACCGAAGTCCAGATATGGGTGATAACGTGGAATTCTCTATCGATTTTGCAACACCTTTCGAGAAGATCGGGCTGTTGAAAGACAAACTAAAGAAGTAAGTGTGTTTTTGTTAATTGGTTTTGTGATTACGATGAATTGATTGTATGGTGACCAGGTATCTGGAGAAGAATCCTCAGTTATGGCATCCAAATCACAACTTCGTGGTGAAGGAGATTGAAAATGTGAACAAGATAAAGATGGTGCTTTTTTTCAATCATACCATCAACTTTCAAGACTATGGTGAAAAGGTTAGACGCAGAACTGAACTGGTTTTAGAGCTGAAGAGAATATTCGAAGAGCTGAAGATCAAATGCAATCTCCTTCCACAAGAAGTTCACCTGCGTCCAGAAACAACCACAAAATAAAATAAAACAGAACAGAAACTAGTGATGGTTGGTTGTGTCTACTTAAGAAAAGGGAATCATGTCACTTCATTGTTATTTTCATGCTGTTTCTTAGAAGTCTTGTACGATATTAGTCTTGCAAATGGAAATAAAGGGTGGTTTGTTTGGCAAAAAAGAATCATGTCACTTCATTGTTATTTTAAACAAGAGTTTCATGTTCGTTTGGTTGGTTGTTTGTCTTGCGAAATAGAGGATGTTAGTTTTTGAATTGTTGAGAGGTGAATCTTGTTTGGTGGGAAAAAAGTCTGCTTCTCAATGGTTTTAAAAGCCCCTGCATTGATTTTGTATCTAAACGAACCGACTGTTTAGCGAACCGTTCGATGGGAAGTTCATTTAAGTTCGTTTATTTAATAAATAAGCGAACGTGAACAAATATTTTTGTTCGTTTAGTTAAACGAACGAATATGAACAAGAGTCTCGTTCGTTCATTTATGTTCGTGAACGTTCGTTCATTTACCGTTCGTTTATATTCGTTCGTTTATATACTAAGTTTTAATATATAATTTTTTGTTTATTTATTTTGAATTCAAATGATATTTATTTATGTTCGTTTAGCCCGTTTGTTTATTTACGTTCGTTTAGCATGTTAACAAACGAACATAAACGAACACAAGCACATCTTATTTCTAAACGAACGAACACGAACACAAGATTTTCGTTCGTTTATCGTTCGTAAGTAAAAACAAAAGAACATGAACAAGCCTCCGTTCGTGTTCGTTCGATTCGTTTACAGCCCTAGCCTCCCTTAACGATTCAGCACCCTAATTTCATTGCAAACAATTAACTAACAATTATATTTTATTTTACACTATATCATGAGAGTCTCTTAATCATTCTGCACAAAACCATTCAACAATTATGATATCCATTATCATCTTCAAACACATCTAAATAAATGAGTTAAGGAGAGAAGCATAAAAAGGGATATGGGTTATTACTCAAACTCATTTATGAATCGTGCTTGATATGTGAATTGATTTGGTGCATCTCATCCTAATGTGCGTCCATGAGTAGAGATCCCGTCTTACTCTTTTCACCTTGACTCTTCTTCTCATCGGAACCCAACCCTTTAAATAAATGGGTACGGAAAGGTGATGACATCTAATATTTCAATAATTTTAATGGTATACTTAAATAATAGTTAAATGGTATTAGTTGTTGTACTTGAATAATTTGCAATTAAATAGAACTTCTAAAAAAGATGTTTTTATGTCGGTTCAAACTTATGGAATTATTGATCTTATAGTTGTTTAATGATAATAGCCTAGATTTCTCGAAATGCCAAAGTTTATGCGATTTGCTAATATTACGAGGCATTATCTTGCAAGTCCGATGCACATTGTGTGTAACACCTTCAAATTTAAAAAGAACGGCTAATTTAAATTTCTAATAATACATCAGATGAAGGATAAATTCATTACTTAAATTACCTCAAATACTATACTAAATCTAGATTTAACATCAACTCTTGATAAACCAAACCTTACATAAAATACTAAGTTAAGGTCTAAATGTTACTAAAATAAAATAATGTCGCTATCTCCAAATGTGGTAGACGTTTTCAATTTGCTAAATTCTTTCTCGTGCCTCTAACACACACTCAATTCTCCATAATGCTATTAGTACCATTGCCCAACGAGGATTTGATGCATATGCCAACAGATAAAAAAGATTAGGCTTAACGTCTAGTAATTTCAAGCAATTTTCATCATAAATATAAAAGCGGTAAAAGTGAAATATGTTATTTAAATCACAATTTCCAAAATAAAATGTATTTAGTACAAAAACAACATCCTTTCATAAACCCATCATTTTCGTGATGAAACACATTTATGGTGAAGAGATAAAATCCTTAAGCTACAAATCTCTCATTTTCTTCCAACACATGCACAAATTATCACCCAAGAGAAAATGAGAATTGTTGGTGCAAAAGGATCAAACCTTAGATTCAAAAGACAACAATTAATGCGATCTTAACTTCAACATATATGAAGCCCAAAATCATCAAGGAAGATTTAATCATCTTTGTTCCGATCTTGAAGAGCTTCAAAAACAAAACCATAACCTTAAGAATTGCTCAAATCGGGTAAGGAATGAAAAAGTTATAGCTAAATGAAGTTTCATCCTAAAATCCGATTTTTAAACCTCTAGTGGGTTATACGACCGTTACATGGGAAATTTTCACATACAGTTTTTTTTTTTTTTTTGGAGTCACATGGCAAGGTCCACGCTATGGCTGGAACCCCAAACACCAGCTCCCATGGGCCATATCACCCGGATCGTCATTCGCTTGTTTTCTTTACTGTTTCTCGACCGTTTCTCTAATCGCTCACCGACCGTTTACCCAGCTATATTTTGGCCTATACTTTGGCCGATTCTTTGGCGGTTCAGTGACTATTTACCTAAATTTATATTTTAATGGTTACAACAAAAATACAGGTGTTACATTATATAACCATTTATATAGATTCACATAATACATTGACTATATAATTGTAAGTAGACTAGTAGGTGTTTATTATGAAGACTAGAAGGGTACTCGTGTAATGCAACGAGATACGTCTTAATTTTAATATTTCATTTTATATTTTGGGTCTATCGATGTTATAAAGCGATTTTATGTGGTTTTGAGGAAAAAAAATGTTTTTATTTTTGAATGAAATAT